TCAGGATTGAATTTCTTCCCATATTTGTTAATTTCAGCATTAGTGATTTGTACCAGAATTTCTTCTGGGTCTATTCCTGCTAATTGACAAAGTCTCAATGTTCCTTTTATATTCAACTCAGAGACTTTTTCCACAAAAGTATTTAATTTTTTCTCAGTTTATGTGGTAAAAGAAACTATTCTGAGATAATGTCTTCCCTGTGCTTTACAGTTCCAGTAGGAAAATGCTTGTAGGGTAATATGACAAAAATTCATTTAAGATTCAATTCCATAGGATCCATATGTGACTCTTGTAATTTCACTTCAATCAAGTTCAATCCCCTCTTAGCTTCAGTTGAAAATTTCCTGGAACTATTAAAGCCCTTGTCACCATCTATGATTTTGTTTAAGTTAATACAATCATCATGTTCTATCCCAGTAGTGGGCCATAGCTGGGAAATGTCTCAAAGCAATCTCTGTAAGTCATTAAGAGTCTCCAATTGATCTCTCCTAACTTACACCTGTTAATGTCTATTTTTATAAATATATTGTATAGCCTAAATAATTAATAGAATCTCCTCTTTGAATTTTTCATGAATAATTTTTAATTCCCAACAAAATAATTTCTTTATATCTTCTGAAATTCTTTCTAAAGTATCTATATTTGAATCAGATAGTAAAATGGCATTCATGTAGTGATAAACTATAGATTCAGGAAATTTATTACATATTATTTTCAATGGTTGGCTTACAAAATATTGGCACAAGGTGGGGGTATTTAACATTCCCTCTTGGAGAACCTTCCATTCATATCCCTTAAAGGGCTGAGAATTATTATAAGTAGGCACTGTGAAAGCAAATTTTTCTGTATTTTTCTAGTAAAGGTATAGTGAAGAAATAATTTTTTAAATCAATAATTATGAGATGCCATTCTTTAGGCAATAAGGAAGGTAAAGGAATGTCAGACTATAGAGACTCCATTGGCTGAATCACTTTATTAACAGCTCTCAGATCTGTTTCCATTCTCCATTTTCCAGACTTCTTTTTAACAACAAATACAGGAGGATTCCAAGGGATGGTTGATTTTTCAATATGCTGAGCATCTAGTTGCTCCTGTACCAGATGTTCTAAAGCCTTTAGTTTCTCTTTTATTATAGACAATTGCTTAACTCCTATATGTTTCTTAGTTAACAATTTTAAAGGTAAGGCCATTGGTACCCCTAAGAGTAGGCTAGGTGTTGTTCTGTTTTTGTATGGACTCAATGGTTGGTGGGTTTTTTTAATACTGCCTTATAATACCCTTTCCTGAAACATGAGTTGATATGGTCCATTTCTGAGACGTAAACAATGTTATTATGCATATTCCATTGTTGTAACAGATGACCACCCCATAGATTCACTGCTATCTTAGCCACAGGTGACTTCAGCCTTTCTTGTGATCCTTCCAGGCCTTTGAATTCAAGCCATCTTTTGATTTGTTTTCCTGAGATGGGGTTCCAATTTTTAGGAATTGAACATCTCCCTCCCGAAGAGGCCAATTTCGATGCCAAGTTTCTGCAGTAGTAATAGTCACATCTGCACCTGTGTTAATAATCCTTTAATTATAATGTTATTTATTTGTACTATCAGATTTGGTCTTTGAACCTTTATAGAAGCCTAGCAAAGTATACATATTCTATTTTCTCCTGAATTTTTAATTCATCCTTTATTACTATTTCATCATTCAGAGAAGTATGATTTTTTTTTTACATCAGGAACTGGATTTACTTATTTTCTTGGGGAGGCATGTCCTCCACAGTGACAGGGAATAACTGGGCTACTTTCAACTGGAGGAAGCTGTGTGGGTGCTGTGCAGGATGACAGCAAGCCATGAGTGCCACCAGAAGTCATGGGTGGACAGGCAGGGCTGGAGAAAAATCTAAGCCAGTGCAATGCTAGTTTTTCTTCCAATCCCAAGTGATTAGGTTAGGGTCTAGCTCTTGCCTATGCCACTGGCTAAAAATCCTCAGGAAAATAGCTTTTTTTTTTCATGAATTCATAAACAAAACATTGGGTGCCAAATGCAGCAAGATTAATAAATACCCAGAAACAGGTATTGGAGTTCATCCTGAAGGTCAGAAAAGCAAAACAGCAAGCGTCCGACTCTTACCTCTACCTCAGTGTGAAATGATTTTTCATTCAAGAATCTAGAATAAGACTGTGTCTGAGAACTGTTTCCTTTCATGTTATATTTCTCTGTATGGCTGGGATTAAAGACATGTACCACCTTGTTTCTATAGCAAACACTTTGGCTAGTGAAATTGAAGGTGAGTGTCACCACTTCCTGGTCTGTAAGGCTAACCAATGGGACTATTTTACTCTCTGATCTTCAGGAAAGCCATATTTATTAAAAGATAAATAAAATACCACCACAGTAGCTCAGTTGGTAGAGTGTACACATGGAAAGAATTTTATATGTGGAATAGTAGGAAAATATAAAACCTTCATATTATAGGCATAAGAGAGACAAGAAACCCAAGTCAATGGCAAAGACAAGACCTTCAATAAGATCATAAAAGAAAACTGTGCTTGTAACATACACCCACAAATAAACAGAAACACAGAACACATAAAAGACATGAATAGAAAAGAAAATTTCAGACAAGACCACACACATGAGACTGAGGACTGATCTTCAAAATATATAAGGAACACAAGAAATTAGACATTAAAATTACAGATAACTCAATTAAAAATGTGGTACAGAAAATTCTCAACAGAAGAATCTCAAATGGTCAAAAGATAATATCTAACAGGGAAATGCAAATCAAAATGACCCTGAGATACAATATTACACCACTCAGAATGATTAATATGTAAAACACCAATGATAGCTTATCTTGGAATGAATGTGGAGTAAGTAGAGTACTCATTCATTCCTGGTACAATGCAAACTTGTACAACTCTGGAAATCAGTAAGGTGGTTTCTCAGAAAATTTGGGATCAACTTACCTCATTACCCATCACTATCACTCCTGGGCATATACCCAAAGGATGCTCAATCATACTACAAGGATATTTATTCATTCTTTTTCATTTGTAATGATTTTTTTTGCATTTCAGTATGTGGTCTATTTTAGAAAAGTTTCTTTATAATGCAGAGTAAAATATGTATTCTTTTGTATTTGGGTGGACTGTTCTGTAGGCATTTTTAAGTCCCTTTGATGTATGAGATCAATTAATTCTGTTGTTTCTCTGTATATTTTTCTTTGTGAGATATCTTGTCTATTGGAGAAAGTTGAGTATTGAATTCTCCTATTATTAATGGATTGGTGTAATCTGTTTCTTTTAAAACAGTAACAGAATTTTTTTTTTGAAATTTTGTGTCTCTCATTTTGGTGCACATATGTTTAGGGCAGTAATGTCTTCTTGGTTAAGTGCTCCCTGGATCCGAATGCAGTTTCCCCCTTTATTTCTGTTGATCAGTTTCTGTTTCAACTTTATTATCTTAGATGATTGGATGGTGATGCCTTCTTTCAGTGTGATTCATTTGATTGGAATCCTTTTGTCTATCCTTTTACTCTAAGGTGGTGCCTATCTTCAAAACTGAAATCTGTTTCTTTTAGGCAACAGAAAGATAGGTTTTATTTCTTGATCCATTCAATCATTCTCTGTCTTTTGAGTGGAGAATAGAGGCCATTCATGCTTAGATTGTTATAGAAATGCATGTATTAGTTCTGGTCATCACATTGTTGAGTTTTGTTGTTGTGTTCTCAGTGGTCTTTATGGTTAAATAATTATGGCTCCTGTTCCTTCCAAAGTCTCTGTTTTGCTTATCCCTCTACTTATCCCCAAATAAAGCTTCCTGTATCACCTTAGGTTTGGTTTTTGAATATAAATTACTTTTAGGTTGAAAATATTTGTAAAATTGTTCCTTTTCCTTCAATCATGGCAGTAATTTTGCTGGCCATATTATTTTAAGTTGGCTGTCATTTAGAACTTGGATGGTATTATTCCAGTATCTTCTGGCTTTTAAAGCTTTCCTTGAGCAATCAGTTGTTTTTGAAATGTGTTCTTTGGGGACTGGAGAGATGGCTCAGCGGTTAAGAGCATTGCCTGCTCTTCCAAAGTTCCTGAGTTCAATTCTCAGCACCCAAATGGTGGCTCAAAACCATTTGTAATGAGGTCTGGTGCCCTCTTCTGGACTGCAGAAAGAATATTGCATACATAATAAACAAACAAATAAATATTAAAAAAAGAAAAGTGTTCTTTACTTGTGATGTACACTTTTTCCCTTGCAAATTTCAGTACATCTTTATTGCTCTGTCGCCTCAGTGTTTTAAATATGATATGTTTTAAATATGAGATCCTTTTTGGGTCTTGTCTTTAATGTGTTCTGTGTGTTTCTTTTACATGTGTGGGTGAGTCTTTCCTTTGCATGGTACAGCTTTTTTCTAAGATCTCCTTGAAGGTCTTGTGTTCGCTATTGACTTGGGTTTCTTATCCCTCACCTGTGCATAGAATTTCCAGGTTTGATTTCTCCATGGTATCCCACACTAACAATGTCTACACATACACTCTACCAACTAAGTTACATCCCCAGCCCCACAGCTCACTATCTGCTGATTACATCACCTCATGTCTGTGCCCCTGTAAGAAAGATTACTTTTCCCAAGTGTATATCTGTACATTTTCTTAATTTTAGCAAACGTGATTTTAATTTCTTGGTGAGATCATGAAGCCACTGTCAAGTAAGTGTGGAGGCCATTAAGGAATATTTTGGAACCAGGAAGAATTCATTGAGGAATTAAATGTTTTTCTACTTCTTAAGAATGTGATGTTATTTTTACTTTAGCTTTGTCCAGAAGGACAGGGATCCACTAATCCACACAGACAGATATGGGCTGGGGAGAAGAGATCACACACGGGAAAGCCAGAGATCAGCTGCTCCTTCTCTACTGTTGTCCTGGAATTAGAGAAGTTCACTCTTCCAGTTAATGATACCACTTTCTAACAACCTCAAGTTCAGAACTTCCCTTTCGCAGGTGACATGGTAATTATGGGTCTTGAGAGAGATGAGCTGATGACATTCCTTCCTTATAACTACTTCTTAGGGCCTCATTCCAAATGGATGCTTATCAAAGGACCGGCCAGGTGAGCGTTTCATTTTCTCTTCAGTAATAGTGAGAGCTGTAAGTGGTAGAAGGAAGCAGAGTTTTCTGTAATAAAATGATTAGAGAATTCTCTGTTTAGAATTCATTTTTGAGCCTTATTGTTTCAAGAGCAAACACAATAAATTCCTGTAGACAAAAATACCAATGTAATGATTTGTAGAAGAACATAGATTTCACTTGCTGTGGCCTCTGATTGTAATTTATGTGATGTAGAAGGTGATCCTATTGGAAAGAGGACAGGGCCTATCAGAAGTGTGGGCAGAGAGACAGGGAAGGCTAATAGGGTGAATGTTATCAATGGATATTATGTATTGAATGAAAATATAATGATATCTATCTCTTTTTACAGTAAATGTACATTCACATCTCTGTAAAAAGTGACCCCAAATGGAGTATTTTAATGAGCATTTCTGCCTATGGATTCTCCTGAGGGGTACTCTTATAATTCTATAAACATGGTTCCTTGTAGCAAACGGCAGCTGTGTTAAATTTCCAACCTTCTCACAAAACACCTGAAATGGCTTAGAGGGTGAAACACAAAGAACACACATTCACTGGTTTGCAGGAGTACATTTATAATATTAATATATATATATATTATATTTTCTCATTTTTATTTTTTTTCAAGCCTATGCATTGATTTACATGAAACTTCATCAGGACTATGCAACAAATATTAGCTAATTTAATGTTTATCAGTATTTTTCTGTTCTGTTAAGTTTGTGTATACTTATGAATTCTTAGTAAAGTTTCACTTCATGACTTAGTAAAATTTAAGATAGTCTTAACATTGTATTAATAAGATTAAATTTTTTCATAGATTTTGTTATTCTACTGTAATAATTTCTAATGAAGTAGATTCTTTTGGTCATCCCAAAAGTATCTAGAATCCTACTTCACTTATTCATTAAATTACTTTTTTTCTCTTTGTTTCATTTTTTTACAAAAGAGAGCAAACTATATAAATTATTTCAATGTTATATTTACAAAAATGTAAAGTGAGTAATTTTCAGTAGAAGTTTCAGTGTTTTAATTATAATGAATTAATTTTCAATATTTAATTTTTCTAAGTTGAACATTGTTACACTGCTATTTATATAATATCGAGTAAGCTTTTCATTATCAGTGAGAAATATTTTTAGTTCTTAAATAGTATCAAATTACTTAAAGTCAAAATACCCAACATTTTTTAATAGTTGCAAAATATAATTGTTCATTAAAATATGCATACAGAAAATATGTCAAGTAAATTTTAGTTTAGCTGATGAATGTCATAAGTCCATTTTAATATTGCTGGAATATCATTTACTAATACATACAGGAGACTCAAATGGAAAGTGAAGGCAGGTGTGGAAGCACACACCTCTGAACCCAGCACTTTGACAGCTAAGACAGGAGCTTCGTGAGTTTGATTGACGTTAGTCTGACCTAAGGCTGAGCTTCTTCCTCTATCTCCATCTCTCCCACACACAAATACAACAAGACTATAGTGGTAAATAGATGGTGTAGAATTTTTAAAAATGGAATAAAAGGATGCCAATAAATGTCATTTACTCACCAGATACAGAGCAACCACACCATGAAAAACAAATGATTGAAGCATGAATATGGTTGCAAGCAGTACAAAATTTTCAGTTTGTTTTGTACAATTCTCTTTAAGAATCTACACTGATGCTGATGCACTAGGCAGAACCTATGTGGATTTGATCAAATCATCCAGGACACAGAGATTTTATTTTAGAAATATATTTGATATAACTCTGTTTTCACTCAATGCTGTTTTATTTACTCATGACAGCAGCCCCAGCACATGATGTGCTATTGATCTATTCTTACTCCAGGTAGCCTTTTCACACACACACACACACACACACACACACACACACACACACACAGACACACACACAGAAACACACACGCACAGATAGAGAGACAGAGAGAGACAGAGAGAGAGACATACATACACACAGACACACATACACAGACACACTGACACACACACACTGCCAGTGAACATTTTCATGTCTTTCTTAGACTTACACCATGTGACTATTGTGCCCAGATCATGACCCACAGAGGGAGACCACAAAAAACAAACAAACAAAAACAAACAAACAAACAAACAAAAACAAACCAGAGCAGACCCGACTGCAAAATGCAACGTTAACTCTTTTATTGTACAGGGTGGCCAGGAACTTCTCCTATACCCCCAAACTGTAAGGTTTGAGAGAGAAGTTAAAGGTTCCTCTGTGGGGTTAGTTTTTTAAAGGTGAAACTACAAGGAGGCTTTTCAGAGTCACTTTGGCACAGGTGCAAGGTCTTTTGCTCTTTCCCATAGCCCTTTCTTTGTTTTTCCTTTATCACCAGGTGGCTGGCTAAGTGTCTTTGTGCTTTGGAATTTCTCGGGTGGGATGGGGGAAGGAAAGCATTATCTTTCTGTGAAGCTAGTCTGTGTTTCTAATTTTAAAACATTCTGCTAGGAAATTCTTGTCCCTTTGAAAATAAGGGGTGAGGGTCCCACAGTGACCTGTGATGGAGCTCTGGGTCTGCCTGCTTCCCCACAGGCTCTGCAGTGACACTGCTGCTGCTGCTTCATCGCAGGGGAACTGGCTGGAAAGTGTGAGACTGTAAAGGTCTAGTGAGCGTCTGTGTGCTTCCAGTGACAGGTGAGTTACATTCAATTTCTGAAGAGTAACTGATATTTTAAAATTTTAAGATTTGAGGCAAATGCTATGAATTAATATCTTAATCACTTAATCACTATATTTCTGCTGACATATAATTTCATAAACATCTGCTCATGGACCTAATTTGAATGTCTAAGGTTCTCATCTTCCTGAGATTCCAGAAGACTTGTTAATGTTGCTGACAGTGGACAGTAAACCAGTGAATACCGTGTATCTTGTCACCTGAAAGTCTCACAATCACTCCATGTTCTCTCTGAGCAGTCACTCTGCATTTAAGTCATTGCTCACTAAATATGGTAAGACTTAAAATGAAAATGATATTTTTGATCTAATATGTTTGCATGTTCACTATATTATTATCACCTCAGAGAAGAAGGTAAAGACTACCACAAATTCATAAAACAAGACTGTTCTAAAATCAAATACTGTGATAATGAAGGGGGAAAGTGATTTTTCTCAGAACAATGTTGAGCTACCAGGACATAGCTTGTTATTTCTTTCGTTGCACGTTTCTTAAGACAGCTGCGTGCTGCCTGCCCATTCTTTTGGTCTGGATCCCTTTGACAGTGGCTGCATCCTTACTATTACGAATGTTTATGAATACACTTTAAGTTTAATCCTTACAACTAAGTACTACAACTTAGACTAATGTGAACACCCAAGTACTGCATTTTTTTCAAATAAAAAGAATGACTTTTCTCAGTTTACGGTTCTGTTGCATATGTTGACAACTCAGTGTATAGCCATGGTAACTGTGGTTTTTCTGGTCAAGTCTCCCCTCCAGTGTACCCCAGAAAAAGATGCCACATAAAGAATGAGAAGAAGCATCATTTTCTGTAGGTGACAAATATTTACTAAGCAAAGGGTGTGAGGTAGAGATGCTGAAGTCTATAGCTTTAAGATAAGAAAAATTTTTTGATTACCATCTTTAACTTCTCTTATAATCTTTTTATTTTATTTATAATACATTGCCTTATTAATAAATTATAGAGGTGTTGTTAATACAATGATTGATTATACATACAGATTTTGTCCATTTGCAATTTTAAAATTGAAATGTGCTACAGTTCTTTCAGTTTAGAGACCAAGGATTGAATTAATTGTTTTCCTTAATAAATCAGATAATATATTTTCCTTCTTTCTTTCTTTCTTTCTTTCTTTCTTTCTTTCTTTCTTTCTTTC